ATACGGTCTACCACAGCGTAGACACGAAAGAATGGGAAAATATTTTCCCTGCAGATACAGTCGACCAATCGTCGCTGCAAATCCTGCAATCCATCGAAATACGCAAAGATCCAGATTCACTGATATTCCCACTCACTGGTATCTTTGTGAGGACCCCGCAAGCACAGAGCCAGGGGTTCATCTCCGGTTATCATCAACACTGCCGTCTCCCACAACTTCAAGATAGGTTCTCGAGCCAGTCCACCCTTGGTCAACGCGTCGCTGATCATGGCTCTAGTGTCCACCCACCAGAGCTTACAGAGGGCACCTGCTTCAAGTCTATCGCGTAGAGCGCGCAGTAAATATAAAAGATGAGGTTCCGCTGGTGCCTTCAGTTCTGTTGCACCCACCGCCGTGAACAGGCCCCTGTTGTCCGTGCAAACATGCAAATCAACTGGTAGCCTTCCCGTATCCATACAACTCTGAATTGGCTTCGCCGTCAAAGGACCGTGAACGATCTCACACACCATCACTTGCGTGAACAGTGCATTGCTGATACCATCATCCACGCTTGCCAGCTCCGCCGAGAAAGTAGAACGACATACTCGAGGTTGCTTTCGCGAGTAGAACTCCACTGCCGCACACAGTCCTCCTGTTGGCATGAAGTCCCGACCAGCAATCGCGATAACTGCCGCTCTCACAGCTAGGCAGTCCGGCTCGGTCGCCCGGAAAGCAATGTCGGGGAAACCCACAACACTCCATGGTAGAGGTACTGAATAGTAGACAAGCGAACTCTTCTTTCTCTTGATCCAGCGTACAACTGAGTTCAAGTGTCGAACATGTTTCCAGCAAGGTTCATGAGCGTGTCGTTGTAGGTATCCAATATGGACTGCAACATCTGCTCGCGTGACTAACATCCAGGCTGCTCCACCCAAGAGTGACCAAAATGAAGTTCGGTCTTGGGAATCGAGGGCTTCTTCATCAGCCCGAATCTTGTCTACCTGCATCGGCCGAAGTTCAGCCGCGTAGTGATCCTGAGAGCACCACACAGATAGGTCTTCATGTTGATCATGAACAACGCCACAGTGCTCGAACCTTCTCTTCTGCCTTGTGAGTTTTCCGAACTCCGACTCGAGAGCATCCATAAAGGCGTCAGCAATCGGTTCGGTCGGGGCGCCCTTGAGGTCGTCCACGCGTGTACTGCACACAATCTGCAAGTCCTCGATCGCTATCTCCGGGTCGGTGAATGACACGTCTGCGCCTCGGGCCTTGTCCTTGTCCGCGTTCATGGGTACCAGCTCACGAGGTACAGGTTCACATCGAGAGCCAGCCCATTTGCAGTAGAATTGGGAATCGGTCACCATCGGCAAGAGTCGAAGCTTCGTCATTACCTGCTTTAGCCTGAGATTCCATAACCTTGGCGCATCCTTGAGACCGAAACCTGGACGTACCATCTCCAAGCAGTGCTAACTCACATCATAGTTGGATAATGGTTCAAACTGTCTTGCGATCTTTACCGTGTCCTTGGGCAGGTCCAACTGAACAGTTCTGAGGGGCTCCCCTGTCATATCTGCCACATCTTGACATGTAAGTCCCTTCAGAAATGCGCTGCCAACATCACAAGACCACAACACCCACTTGGGGCGACTTGCCGCGATGAAATTCACTATCCTCTGGCTTTGCCTCGAGGCGGTCGCACTGAAGGTATCCAGACGATCCTGCTGTAGATCTTCGAAGCCCTTGATGCATAGTCGCGCTTCGACTGCCAACTTACCGTCTGGCTGCTTCTTCCAACGGATAACCCATCGAGAGTCCATCAAGTTGGTGCACCCTAGCCTGCTTCGTTGCTTGAGCGCACCCAATTCAATCCAGTTGCCTAGCTCCTTCGCCATAGCCTTTTCCACCTCCATACGATGCTTGATCAGGTCACCCTTGTTGAGTTCGTCAGCCTCTCGTTCAATAACCATCTTGGTCTTCCCCGTCGAGTTGACGGACAGAATAACACGATGGCCCCCGTCGTTCGCAAAGAGAGAGAAGATCTCCGACTTGGGCAAGTCGTGTTCATCGGTGGTCATGATCACAAGCCTGGAGATCTCTGATTCGAACTCCACCTCCAGAACTTGCATCTCCTTCTCTGTATTCTCAAGATAAGTAGCCACCTCAACAGCTTCCAACACTCGAGAATCCAACCAGTACTCAGCGTCCGGCGGTGATTGGCTGTCAAGGATAGCGTGAAAGAAGCTGAACTCTGTCCTCACGTGTCGCATCCATCCGGGATCCCAGGGTTCCAGCCACAGGTCCTGCATATCTGAGTTGGCGTCTGGCTCTATCCGATAGGGCTGTTGAAATGGTCGCCACGTTGACCTTAGCAGTTCGGGATCCGCCTCCGCATCTCGTGGATGAGCCACCCCTTGAGCCTGAGGTTCAGATGCCTCTGACTCCTCGTCGATGGTGGCCTCTGGAGTGGGCCAGCGATGCCATCGATCTGGTCGTTCTTCCACACCATGAGGATCACGAGGTCGCACTAGACCGCGCGGTGCTGGAAAGTCGGGCATCTGTTGAGGACCTCCAACGCGGGGTACGTGAACGTCAATCTGTCGCAAGACCTCGGCCGTAGAAATTTTTCCCCCATTAGAAACTGCACCCAGCACACGCGTCCAAAGCCTGGCCCCATCAGGTGTTGTGTACTCGCCTTCGCTCGAGGATCGAAACTTGCGTGGTGATAGCCAATCGATTCTCCTGGAAGCCACCATACGATCATGCACGTGTGATGTCCTCGGGCAGCTGGAACTTCTCGCGAACCGTATCCTAGTTTCGTGGCCACGACTCCATATAGTTGAAAGTCGCAGGCGGCCACGTGGAAAGCTGCTGTCGTCAGAGTCGGCAGCCGACGACTGGTCTTCGTCATCCTCCAGTGTCCATCCTCGCCGATCTCATATCCCAGGAGTAATGTAGTGCCCGCCGCCATGTTCTCCACGTAGTATACTAAGATCTGGTACGGCTTGGTGTCACCGCGGCCAGGAGCCGCCATGAGAGTCAGCCATGTCACTGCCTTACGAACATCGGCTGGGCGGCACGGTAGCGCGCGACCCTGCCATCGTACATCGATGATGCCCTCGTCAGCTCGGCCCACGGCAGCTACCTTGCAGGGTCCTCGCCAGCCGGTGACATCCTTGTTCGGCGGGTCCCGGAAGATATCAACCGAGTCTCCTACACGAAGATCTCCGAGCTGAGCCGCTGGTCTCGTTCGCGTTCGAGCTGCTATCTTCAGTCTTTCCTGCGCGTTGCCCTGCACGATGTTGGCGAGGGCCAACTCCCTGACTCGATGAACATGACGAGACACGGCGCCTCCAGACTCGTCGTCGAACTCAGATCCTCCCCCTCCGATCTCCAGTAGAATGTTCGGAACCCGACCATACAAAGCCGCACACGGTGTGGTCCCGTGAACGCTCAAGAGGGTGTTCATGGCCAACAAGGATTCGTCCAGCAACTCTTCCTTCGAAACTCTGATGCCTTCTTCATTTCCTTGACTTCGAACTCGGTGATACTGTGTCCGAAATAAGTCATTCCTCCGTTCAATAACATGATCATGTGATCCTTTGGGCTTCGGTCTCAAGTCCACCTTCCATCGATCTGCCCAGATAGCTCCTTCGTCCGAGAACAATGCTCCCTCCTGATCCGAGGTGATGAACTTCGGAGGACCGTGGACTCGAAACCAAATATGAGTGATGGCCGGGAGAACATCCCCCGGCTCCTTTGACTTCACAAAGAGCCCTTGAGCCCACCTGATACACATATCGATCAAGTGCACCACGATACCGTCGTCCAGGAAAAGCAGATCAAACTGAATTCCTTCATTGAAGGTCGTGGTGAACGTCAAACTTGTCACCGACTTTTCGCCTCGTCGCTGCCATTCCCGACAGACGGTGCAAGTGTCCACGACGTCCTGCACCATATTGATCACTTCTCGTGGTAGACCCGCGGCCGAAAGGTCCCGTAGTCGTTGGGCCGGAGCGTGCCATAGTCGCATATGCATGCGACGTAGAGTACGTTGCACCATTCCAGGAACCGCTGATCTCAGCCCCTGAATAGCACGTCCCATGTCCCACTGCGTCTAGTCCGCTCCTGTGCCGATCTGGGCCATAACATCTTGAAATCTGCGTCTTCTCAGTGCCACCTCGTCTCCGCTTGCCCTGGCCGGAGGTCCCGGTTCTCCAGCAGGAAGAATGGCTTCCTCCGCTACTGCATCCGGGGCCGCTCCAGAGGGTCCAGCTTCAGGATGAGGTCGTACGTCATCATCGCCTTCCATAGCTGCGGCAGGAGCAGCACCTGAGGGTCCGGCTTCAGGATGTGGTGCTGCGTCCTCCTCTTCTTCTCCTGCTCGGGGATGTACTCGATGACCAGCACCCGCAGCTCGTGCTGCCGGTACTCGCGGATCCCGCGCATGAGCGGATCCCTATCTTCTCGTCCCAATCATTCTGGGCTCGTCCATGAGGAGGCGACAGTCAGTGTCGAAAGTGTGGCGGGGGTCGCGCCGATCCCGACCCATTCTGCATGCGGGGCAGTTGTACTCCAGCGGCTGTACCAGCGGATGTCGACACTGTCCAGGGATGCGGTTGTGTGACGGATGTGTGCTGACTCGATTTCTCCGACATCCGGGACAGAGACGAGGTCCGATCGCTGCCCTACGAGCACGCGGATCCAACACTTCTTCGGGTGCGGGTGGTGGCGGAGGTACATCTGCTGCCGCTGCCGCTGCTGCTGGGGCTGGTAGTCCAGGTGGAGGGGTCAATGGGAGCGGGTACTCCTTCGCCATTTATCCTCGGGTACGCCGCCACAGTTGGGTAGATCAGCTTCCTCAAGTCCAATTCGTGAAGCCATATCAACTCTGAGATGCCATCGGCCAAGATACGAGCGAATTGCCATGTCCACACCTGTGAAGGTTTGGTGACACGTCCAGAGCATTCCCCATGCCGATGCTGTCGATCACACTCCTTGGAACGCAGCCGATAGATCAGCACCTCGTGACTCGCCCATACCTCCTCCGGCTTACTCAAAGGCTCCTTCTTCGAGTTGACGAGCCCCAGCATACACATGTTGAACTGAACCCACGTAAGATTCTTCCGGGCCAGACCCATCCATTCTGGAGTTCGATAAATACGGCTTCCCCCCGGCAACTCATTGACGTAGTGGCGTCCTCCGTCCAGCTGAATGTGAGCCGCCTTCGCACAAATCTGTCCTAGCCTGAAAGAGACCTCCGCATTGCGACGGTGCACCTCGCTGCCGATCCACTCGTTGACCGTGCACCATCCAGCTGTGCCAGTACATTGAGGAGCCATCACCAACACAAAGGGTCGCTCCTCCTTCAGATATTGGTAGAGCTCCATTTCCTCGTCACGCTGGAGGAGATCTACGCCCATGAGAGCATCAAAGTTACGACCTCCCGCGTAATGTCGTCGAACGAGTAGTTGAGTGGTGCGTCCTTCTCCTCCCATGATTTCGGCCACATCAACGAAGAAACTGTTATCGGTCTGCTTCGTGTGATTCAGGAAGGATCGACCCGATGGGATGCCAAGGAAGTGTCGTTCTCGATCTGGCGGACGGTCGTCTCGAAGTCTTCCGACGAAATCATCCGTCTTGAACTCGCTAGGTTCCAGATGGTAATCCTCCACCTCGTTGCCCGGCATCTCCCACCAGCACACCTCCTCGTTCCGTAGATAGTTGAGCTCTCCGAGGTCCTCGCCACAGTCATCCATGACTTCGGGATCTAGAATCTTCTTGACCTTCTTCTTCGGTTCGTGTCCCTCGGCCTTCCTGGACTTCAGCTTCTCAATGTAGGCCATGGCAAAGTCGGTCGGATAGAAGCTGACCGTCTTCGACTTCGTTACCACCATGTGGGAGTCAACGGGCTCATCCGGTCCCGTCTGCGGATATCGTGCATCTCGTTCCGTGTCATTGTCGTCACGTACTTCTCCTCGAACCGCATCGAATAGCTCGTCTCGAAGTCGGTTCTGCCAAAATACGGTCAGAAACTGACCTTCAAGCTGAACGTGTTCCAACCCTGTCGATCTGCGGTGATCTGAGCTCTTCCGGCCACAGCTGCACGAGTCGGGAAGCAAGTCCAGGTTGGAAAAGAATCTCTGGCTGGTCGTCGGGGCCATGTCTTTGCCCGACGTTAGGTAGCTGCACCATCGATGATCTGTCATCCGATATCCTGGCAGGGTCGTTGCCGTCGTTCTGAGAATATCATCCTCCTGCCAGGCCTCATTCGTAGCTTGAGAATCGACCACCAGCACGCACCGAAGCTGAATCAAGCGCGCGATGAGTATGGAGGTCGCCATCAATATGTGCCTTTGCTTTCGGGTCTTCCCTTGTCGTCTCGCGACGTCAGGTATGAGGGAATGCAGTCGCATCCAAACACCTCGGCACTTCCCTCGCTCCAAGAGTCGGAGAATATGCTCCATGGTCGAGGTGCGCAGAAGACTTAGGCGGGTGTAGGTGATGTTGGCCTGACTCAGCAACTTCGTGCGGATCGGACGGCCATTGTCCTCGTCTATCACCATGATGACAGGGTCCTGCTCGGGGACGTCCAGAGGCCAAGCTACATGATTTCCTGCGGCACCGCCGCCGCTTGGCAGCGGCGGTCCGCACCCTCAGTGCACCGCAGGCGCCGAGGGAGTGGCCGGCGTCGGCTCATGCGTCGGCGCGTCTGCCTCGCCCTCCTTCGCCTTATCTTTGATCATGGGCTTGGTGACCGCAGGCGCACTCGCATGCCAAGTGGCCGGCCCCTGCTTCGCGCGCACCTTCTTGCCCTTACCGTTGCCGAAGAAATGCGAGATAGGCAACAGCAAATGTCCTGATCGCGAGTCCTCAAGATTGAAGGTGAGCGTCCCCGGCGGTGGTGTGAACTGTACTCTTCCAGGGCCTCACAGGTACAATTTGTTGTTGATCATGTCGACCACCGCCCTGTTGTGCTTCAGACTACGCTTTCCCCAGAGAGCGGGAATATCGGAATCAGGAACCACTGGGGCCTTGTAGCTTATCTGATGCACCTTGCCTCGCTCGTCCTTGGCTGCGCCTGGCATCGTCACCTCCTCCTTGGCGATCTGAGCATTGGTACCGACTCCTTCAACCCCGATCGATTGATCCATCAGACGTTGCGTCGGTTCCAGACATGCCCGTTTTGCCAGAGCTCCCATTCGCATAACCCATCTGTCACCCACCAAATTGTCATACGCACCTGGATCTATCAATAGGCACTCCTTACCATCGATTCGTGTCGCCTCTAGAAATACCTGTCGTGCCTCATCGTATCGCTCGAACACCGGTCCCACAAACCACTTCAATCCAGCGGGCTTGGTTCCTGAGTCGATCTGCTCGTTGTTGGACCGAGGTTCTTCAAGAGTTGCCTCCGTGTCCGGGTCATCCATGATCCGAGCCTTCGCCTGTTCAATCACCTGAATCGTCTCGTTGCCGATGTCCACGGACTCCGAGGGAGTCGAGAGCATGTCCCAGGATGCGGATGAAGCACAGTCACGGCGGGCCCCCTCTTGAAGGTCTGGCCGTGCATGCGACTCGCACAGGCGCGAGCCTTCCTCCTCCGCGTCCGGGTAGTAGCTGTCCTCGTACTCCTTCTCGTCATCCTTGGACACGTCCACTTGCGACTCCACGTTGCTCGGCATGGCGAAGAAGTGTCTGGTCGCCGTAGACGCTGCCGGTTGACCCGTGAGTTGCTGCCAACGCTGCAACGCGCTGGAGAAGCTTGAAGCTGGTTGGGCTCCTCCTGTACTCATATTCCCTTCTGTCGTCACATAACCCTTTCCTCCTGAGGTAGCCCGCTTTCGTCGGTAATCGTCAGCTCCCGAAGCGTCGCACTTCCTCCATAGATGCTTCTCGCTGTTGCAGTGGTCACATCGAAGTGGCTGTCCGTTCGCGCCTCTCGGGTTGGTCTTCTCGCCCTTGCCCTTGCCCTTGTAGTATTCATGGGTGTTCCACGCGCACCCGGGGCAAAGAGCTCCGTCTCCTGCTTCAGAAGGAAAAGACCATCCACTATTTCTCTGAAATCTGACCCCTTTCTTGCCCTTGCCTTTGCCTTTGTATCTACGACGCCTTGGAAGTCTGTCCGCTCGCCTCCCCCAGTGCTTATTGGCCAAAGCGTATACTTCATACAGATCGCTGTCGCTCATCTGGGCACTGATGTGGAAGGTCGACTCCGCCAAATCGTTACCGTCATCATCGCTCGTCCAGGTGGAGTCCGGATCTTCCCGGTCGTAGAATATATTGCGGCAATTGCTGCACCAGCATCCTTCCGTATTTGATCCATTCGATACCCCAGCAACTCCGCCGAGCGGTACACCTGACCTCGACGGGGACGATGCGCTGGGGTAGTAGGGCATCGGTGGCGGTGGTACTCCCACTTGGGTGCCAGTGTCCTGTGAACTGTCCGTGAAGTAGAAGCCGTCACCGGAGCCTGTGGGGTTTGTGAAATGCTGATGCCTGGATTGATGAGCTGCCTGCGCGAGTCCACTTCGCTCGTAGAGATGATTCTGACGCCTGATAAAGGAGGTAAGACTTGAAAGCTCCTGTTCATTCGTTGGTAAGTTACCTCCCGTCGGTGCCAGAAACTGAGCCCACTGTGGCGGTGGAATACCAAGAGCATTGAGTAACATCCAAGCCAAATTCGGAATTCCCATATGGAAATTTCCCAGATGCTCAGCCTTGAACTTCAGGAGATCAAATCGAGCCAAAGCTTGGTCAATCGGTTCGCCTGGCCGTCGACGAAAAGCAACCAGGTCTGTCATGCTCGCGATAGCGGTCTCCACCTCCAGCGGCATGAATTTGCGTCGCAGCCCATGAATCAATAGGTCCAGCCCCGAACACCATCGATGTCCAGCTCCATCACGGAGGTCCATGTAAACTCCGTCCTGTAGTTGATCTGGCGGCACTTCTCTCGATATCTCTCTGGCCAATCCTGATAACTGCAAGACCACGGCCGGAGCAATCGAACGTGCCGGTATATCTGTCATCGCTTCCCACATGCGGATGTCCGTGATCCAGTCACGGAGTGGATATGAGGACTCCCTGGCGGGGTCCCAGCTCGGTGGCGTCTTCGTATTCGACTGCATGATCTGAGGTCCAGCTGGTATGCCACCGGTCGTCTGCGGGGCGTTCGCCATGACGTAGTCGTAGTAGCGCAGTGGTATCTTGTCCTGGGAGCAGGTACGGGATCGCACCTGCTCCGCTACCAAGTTGTTTTCCTCTCGCTCCTCCTCCTGGGACAACGCCTCCAGAGGTTCGCCGCCGTCGTTGTCCGTCAGCGCGTCCGCCGACAGAGGTGATACAGGCACGCCCACCGTGCCGGTCCTGAGAGCCCTGTTGGCCCGAAGGGCCACGAAGAGGGAAAGGACCACGAGGAACGTCGTGATGCTGATAATCGAGATTATCTGATATGGAATGATGGGGAAAGAGGGGCTTGCCGCCGCAAACAGGATTCGCACTCGCGTGAGGCTTCTCACTGAACGGCTTGAGCCAAAGCGGCGATCACGCCGCTCTGTCATATATACCTCGCTACATGCTGGGCACTCGTGCTTCCCCTCCCTTATCTCGGGAGGACATCTACACATCAACTGGAGGAGGAGGAGGAGGAGGAGGAGGAGGAGGACGAGGGGGAGGAGGAGGAGGAGGAGGAGGCGGAGGAGGAGAGGAGGAGGAGGAGGAGGAGGAGGAGGAGAAGGAGGAGGAGGAGGAGGAGGAGAGAGGAGGAGGAGGAGGAGGAGGAGGGAGGAGGAGGAGGAGGAGGAGGAGGAGGAGAGGAGGAGGAGGAGGAGGAGGAGGAGAGAGGAGGAGGAGGAGGATGGGAGGAGGAGGAGGAGGAGGAGGAGGAGGAGGAGGAGGAGGAGGAGGAGGGAGGAGGAGGAGGAGGAGGAGGAGGAGGGAGGAGGAGGAGGAGGAGGAGGAGGAGGAGGAGGAGGAGGAGGAGGAGGAGGAGCAGGACGACGACGACGACGACGACGACGACGACGACCAGAGAGAGGATATGACGCTACGGCGCATGCTGCCAAAGCCAGTGCAACGAGGGAAAATGAGAAGGGAGGAGAGGGGGAGAGAAAGGAAAGAGGAGGGAGGAGAAGACAGAAGGGGCAAGAAGGAGGAGGAGCAGGATTACCGTTCCTCCCTTATTCCTCTTCCTGGCCCGAGGGCTCCTCGCAATGAGGGTCGCCCAGAAGGAGCCCAGCACGCCTACGCAGTAGACCACCGTGAAAGGCGCCTTGTCCTTGCGGCGCGCTGGAAGAAACACTGAGAGGAAACGGCGCTGGACCGTGCAAATGGCAATCAAACAGTCGATGATCGGCGGTGCCACGGAACACGGCAGGGTCCAGCGAGACCCGCGACAGGGACGGACAGACAGGCACGAAAGCCGAGCTCTGCGGGCCACGCTGCCCAAGAGAGGAGGGAGGAGGGGGGAGAGGGGGAGGGAGCAGGAAGTGAGCGGGGGAGAGGGGGAGGATTGAGGGAGGGAGGAGGGGGAGAGGAGGAAGCGAGAGGGGGCACCCCTCCTCTCAAAGGCGGCGGGGGGCTTCTCGGCAGCCCACCGGTCTCCTGAGAAGCCACGCGCGGCCTCGGAGGGGGCGCAGACAAGACCTCCAGAGGGCTGGAGACCTTCTGAGCCTGCGGAGCATGCCCGCCCCCTCTGCCCCCCCCCAGCCGTACTCTGCGCTCCTCAGTGCGCGGGGGAGGCGCGCCCGTGCCCAGGGAGGCGCCGGGCTCGTCGCCAGCCTCGTGGAGGAGCACCCCTCAGAAGCGCGGGGGTGCGGGGCGGGGGTGTATCCACATCCACCGCCTGGGAGCCGACGTCCTGGTGCCCTTGCGGGCGGTGGATCTGGGTAGATTCTGGCCCCCGGGGGCCCGA